AATTGATGTAATGCAAAAAAAGATGTTCACACAAGGTTAAATCCAAAAATGTAAAAATTATGTCAGACCCTTACTTATACAATACCCCACCTGCCCCAGTCTCATTTTTGTATTATAAAGAAGTAAATATGGGGGAATTTTTTTTGCTGGTCATTTTTTGGCCTGAGCACCACCATATCATACTGTATATATTATGCATCTGTATGGAAAGATTTTAAAGGACCAAGCTCAGAGAAGAGGGACCCTGTTATGGCTGGCCTGAAAATACACCCTAAATACTCTCTAAAGTCAACTTGAAGATATAAGAAACTGAGGTTTTCTGATTCAGCAGGACATGCATGTTAACAGGAAAACTACTACCGTATTCTATTTGATATATGAAGAGGTCAATGAGGCCCAGTGGGCCAGTATATTTTAGATGAAATGTTATCATAAATGAGGATGTGTTTTCATTTAAAACGCCAGCTGTTTTCTTTAGACTCCAGGCAGCAGAGGTGGCCTAGGCTCTATGGTTTCTTTACTTTGTTTGGGTTTGTTTTTCATTATTAACCTTTTTAGTATAATTATTAATATAACCCATTTATGAATTTGACTTTTTGCTGCTTTCATTGTAACTGAGATATAAGCACATATTCTTGGATATATTTGTATTAGTCCTGAATATTTATTGATTGATTTAGATAAAAATTTTTAAAAGGTGCTTTTCCAAAGGGCTGAGTGCTTTTGTCATTTATTAAAAGTTACAGAAATAAACACAGCAGCCATTGCAAGGATTGGAAGAACAATGAAAGTCTGCTCAAGCTGCTAATTCCCAACCTCATGGCAAAAATTCGAGTCTAGAGCTCACTAAGGCTGTGTGAAACTTTGGTTCCTGATTCAATTCGGCAGAGATTCGGCCCACTTCATTGGCTGAATCTCCAAATCCAAATTGAATCAGGAGACCCTTTAATCTCTCCGAACTGAATCATAACCCTCTGAATCGATTCGGAGAGATTCAGAAAGATTCAATAATTCGGACATAGATACAGCTTTAAAAGTTTTTTCCACATATCTCAAGGTACCAGGTGGCTCATGAATGGTGAGATGCTGGGGCAGATAGAGCATCCCACAGGAGCATGGGGGGTGGGTCCCAGCATGCTTGGCAGCAGACCCAGAACTGGACCAGAAGGACTTCTGGTCCACTTCTGGGTCCCCCCCTGCGGCTGATCACCGAGCAGAGCCAGGCCCCCTCCCCATGCTTGGTGGCAGACCTGGAAGTGGACTGGAAGTACTTCTGATCCACTTCCAGGTTCACTGCCAAGCTGTCACTGAATCACTGTCCCCAATTCAGGCCAAATTTGAATCCGAATCAAATACAGCCCATTTCGCACACCCCTAGAGCTCACCCTTTTCTCCCAAACATCTGGGAAAAGAAATTGATCCACAACTACGTGAAGCTCCTTTATCAGTAGATACATTAACTATTTTTTAGGTATCAATTGAGGCCAGATTCTCGGTTCATTACTAAGAAGGCCTCTGCAAGAGTTAATCAAAGGCAGTACAATAGACAAAAGGACAAGGCATAGCCAATTGTCTACTGTGCTGAACTGAGCTGGTAGGGCTGCCTCCTTGGGAAGACAGTGAGTCAAGAGCTTCCATGGGAGCAAGAGTCCTCTTAACACCCTCAATGTCCTCCCAAAATACAGGTGAATCTGAGCCCCTTCTGCACTGATGCCCTTCCTGTTTTTCCAGAAGTATGGATGTGCAGTCAAGGAGGCACAATTTGAGTGGCAATCAAATTTAACCCAAAGAGTCTGCAATGCAGACATACCCTAAGGAAAAGAAAATAACACTGTCTAGAATACTATAAGTACTATTATTCCACAGAAAGAGAGGAAAGCTACAAATCCTTGATTTGAAAAAAAGCTATTTTACAATTTCCTTGTGAGTTCCAATTTTCTATGGATGGCTCAATGGACAGAAAATATAAGATTTAGTAAATACATATAACAGTACAGTAAAAAAAATGTTTACACAACCCTGCAGTACTTTTACTATATTTTTAATTGAGGTTTCTGGCAATAACAAAGCCACATAAACAAACCTCAAGCAGGCTGCTTATGTGACTAAATCTCCCAAGATAAAAATATTGCCCTCAGTTATTTCCACTGAGGGTGCATTTTGTTTTAACCCAGAGAGGAAAATGCTTCTTGCCTCTGAGTTCCAGCTCCTGCTGGGACAGTAGGGAAACAGCTTGTGACAGGCACTATAATTAGAGAGGTGTAAAAGAAAGCATGTTTCCACAAGCAATAGAATATTTTCTGATTTTGTGCTATACTTTTCAATATGACAGGCAGTTTTCAGAGGAGAAAATCAGATCTTCTTACAAAGCTCTTTTCCTCCTGTACTCCTTCCCACAATAAAAAAAATATAACCCTGACAATATGATCTGTACAACATAAGCTTTTTTCTTACTAAAGTAGCATCCTCCATAGGTCACATTGTGGTAGGTTACAAGCGAAGTTTCCAGCAGCTTTCTTCTGCTTAATACCATTACTGCCTGACTGCCACTACCAGTGCTGCCCATCATCTTGTACTCTCACCCCAACAATCATTCTTCCAATGATGTTTTAAGTGCATAGTGCTGTTTTAAGAGCACTATGTACATTTTCGTCAAAATGGATAGAGCCCTTCATTTGTTAAGGCATCATTTGTTATGACTAGGCATCTACTTAATTCATGATTTCGCTCTTTGCCACTGATTGGCTGAGAGGGCTGTCTGTTGTGTGGCACTGCCAATTAGTGGTCAGCAGCTGGCACTGTGATCAGCCTGCAAAATTGCCTCTCTGTCACCTCAATTTGGGTAGGTTCCTAGTTATGACACACATGATTTTATCATCTAAATTGAAAAGAAAATACAAATAAAAAAATAAGATATATATTTACTTCATGCACCATCTAGCAAGCCCAATTCTGATTTATATCAAGGCCACTTAAACCACTTGAGAAGTGTAAGAGGCCTTTAAAATGTGTAGCTATAACTCATGCTCACTTTATGGCCTCTTCACTGCTAAAGCAGGTGTATATGAGGATCGAATCTACAAAGACACACAAGCTTAAAAAAACCAAACAAAAAAATTGTCCCTGAAAACAAACAAGAACCAGACAGGGTGATTTAGTAAGCTAAGCCTTTGGTTTGAAATACCAGTCCTCTCTGGAACTACAGCTTCAATTCCTGGCAGTATGAACTCCCTGCATAATCCTTTTAAATAAGAGCATTTACTCCTGAGTGATTTACCTTGGACTTTACTTCACAGTAAATTTATGATGTAGTAAGGAACAGACAACCAGCTAGCTCTTCCAATCTGATTGGTCAAAGGCACTATCACAGTGCCTGACCTCTGGGTGGAAGGGATGCATTTTTATTGAACAAATGGTTATTTTAGAGCAAAACTGGACGTGTCTACACATACGCTTTAATGCACAGTAGCCTATTGTACTGTGCCTTAAAACTTCACATAAAAAACCATGCTATTACGGTAATGTGAGGTAAAATTGGCTACGGCACATTAAGCATCACTTAAAAAACCATGTGCTTTCGGTACTGTGCATTAGGGCAGCCTAATGTGCTTTATTTAGTACCTCACATTGGAGGTACTAAATTTAATGCACATTAGGAAAAGCATATTAATGCACATGTAGATGCACACATTGAAAGTGGCAACAAATACCCAAAACATAAAATAGAGTAAATCAGGACTGACCAACTTCTAATTGGTCAGAAGCCATGCCTCATGGGCTGCACCAGTTGGGGCCATACACTATACAGATGACCCTTACATTACTGTGCACCATAAATTTGCCCCACTCTTCCCCCAACCTGCTGGACTGTACACCCACGCAGCCCCGGGATCAACCTCAGCTCCCTGTGTCATGCTACATTGCACTGTCCTACCTCTTGTACAGAACAGAAGCTGGAGAAGGGACAGAACCCAGAGACTCTGGCTGCTGTTGCTGGGGAGCCGGGCAGGAGCCTGGAGTCTGTAACTTAACTGCTCATGGGTTTTACAGCCCTGGAGTAAATCTTTCTGGAGTAAATTTACTTCTAACTTCTGCCAAAGTAATTTTACAACAAAAGCATTTGTTTCAAGAATGTATACTGTGTACTGTGTGTCTGTTCCACTTCTCCTCTAGAGTAAAAATACAATGTGTCTGCACCCTGATATAAGCAGAGTGCCAGATAGTTCCCTGTGGTGGGTAGGTATTTTGGCTGCGGACTTAAAGAATAAAATTCTCTCTCTTAGTAAAATCCTATCCCTTAGTAAAACTATCCTTCAGTAAAATCCTGTCTGCTTTATATAAACAGTAAGAATTTTACAGCACTTTTTGAAGAATAGGGCTTGTACTAGTATTAATTGAAATTTCTCTTCCTTGCGCACAAAAAAAATCTTGGAGGAGTTAATAGGAAATAAATTCAATAGAAGGTACTCCAAAATATTATGCAATGTAATACAGAATATCTTTTCTATAATTTTTTCAAGTGATTTTACATTATTTAAGTGGAGTGAAATTCTTTAAGATAGTTTAAAAATCCATGAAAAGTTAGAATTTTCTATTTAGTTCTGTAAGTTGTTTTCCCCAGTGACCTAATTACAAACCAATATTCAAGGAAATGTTTTGCTACACTTCCCATAAATCTGACAGGCTCTCACAGCAGTGTTAAAAAAAGAACAATCTTCTAAAGCACCTGAGGATGAAAGGCGGTATACAAATGTAAAACAATATTGATTATTATTATTGTTACTGCACAATATTCAAATTGATACTGGAATTGTTATTGAACTGCTAAGTTGTATTTTTAATGGTACTGTTTTTTATATGCTAAGTAAAACTCTGTAAGCTTAGAGGAACTCATCAGTACCAGCAACTGTTATATCTCTAAGCTTTGTAACTGATTCACACTGTAGTAACGCTGTATTATGATCTCACATACTGGTTAACATATAACATTGTGTACTCACTCATAGGTAAGAAATGGCACATCACTTTTTCCTTCCTTGGTTGTAACAACTTCACGTTTGATGCCAAATACAGTTCCATAGCTGTCTTTTGCCAAAAGATCAAAGATTTCATTATTATATACTTCTACAACAGAAACCTCAACCCAATGGCTTCCTGGTGGCTTTTCTGAAATAAGCCTAAAAAAATACAGAGAAGAGAATAAAATAGATTTAAAGAGGCTAAAAGCAAATCCTAAGTAAATTATCCCTTAGTAAAAGTTTCATCTTAGAGGTGATTACAGTCTAGAGAAAGCAACTATCAAACATCCACGATCACCATTGTGGGTCACCTTCCATGTTAATGTAAAGTTTGAAGAAAAAGAATGTATACTCTTTAATTATACAGTCTGTGTGTCATAGAAAGGTCCACAAATGAGATTCCTACCCAGAAGAGCATTCCATCTTTCCACTCTTCTGTGAAATATGAAACATCATAACCAGAAGGAAATATGATTCTACATTCTACTTACCACCAGACAATTTCAAGGTAAAAAGACTTTTCCAACTTTTCTCTGAGTCTAACCTGCACAAAATTAACTGTTCCAAACAGGAGACTTTAGCACACCTTCTGTTCTCCTGTGAAATATGAATTTTCATTTCTACCTAGGACAACTTTTACAATCTTTGCAATCTCCTATGCCCAATGAAGGGTGCCTGTGCCCGAAAGCCTGCAAATAAAGAAATCTTTTTTGCAAATATTTAGTTGGTCTAATAAAAAATATCACCTCTGCTATGAGTTCTGATAGAAAGAAAACAACACTTTCAGTCTCATTTAACCATCTGTGGGCCAGATTCTGATTTCTTGACATAACTATGGCCCCACTAACTTGTGGAAGCCTGCTCCATTCTTAAGACCTAATGAGCAGCATAGGTGTGAAAACTGACCTTTGCTGAGAGAATAGGGAAAAACCCACATGACAATGGAGCTAAAAAATCCCAGGGAATGAAAACAGCTTGTTTACACAAAAAAGCCTTTTCATGTATATACTCTCATTCTAGAATAAAAGCAACTCATTTTGGTTTAATTTAATCCCCTTCCCAAAAGGGATGAGCTTAATAAAGAAAAAAAGGGAACTCTTTTATTAGACTATACAATATCAATATAATTATATGAGTATAATTCATGCATAATTACACAGAACAAAGCTATGCCACATAGGCAAAGCCAAAATAGCAAATAAACATCTGTAGTCAAATCTTCTGCAAGTTCCTAAAAATTAAGATCACTCTTATTCCTTAACGGCAAACTAAGTTCTTCCCATAACATTCTAGTGTTAAAAAAGGAACTGGATAGGAATCTAGACTTAACCTTAACTGTGAAGCTGCTACCAAAGCTATTATAAATTACTATAAATGTAACGTGAACAGTTAAATATAAACAATGAACATATCAGGCATTTTTCTTTCTTTATATAAAATCCAATGTGAAAACTGTTTGCCCTCTACTGACACCAAACTCTTATTTTCATTTCCTGGTCACCAATACCTGAATACTTCTTCTGTTGCTCGAGGAATTATTCCTAGTTCTGGTTCATCTTCTGTGGAGAAGATGAAGTTATCCCCAGAGAGGGGTCCAAACATTGTATGAGTCTTTCCACTACCTGTCTGTCCATAAGCCATAATACACACGTTGTACCTGAAAAATCACGAAGGGTGTGTTTCATTACTGACAGTGGTTCCTGTTTTGTAACAAATGAATTTGGTACTTGAATGGTTAATACCAAAGTACTTGGGAAAATTATCAGTTTATTTTAAATATGTAAATAGCAATAGCAACAACAACAACAATAGCAATAATAATATACTTCCATAGATCCTTTATTTAGATCTCAAAATCTTTTACTAATATAAATTAAGTAACCCTAAAACCATCAGTGAAATGGATATTTTTGACCAGATGGGTCAAAGCACCAAAACAACACCATAGTTTTATGCAAATTAAAACTAATTTAATATTTCAGTGCAGTTTGTGTGTGGACACTTCTGTTTAGGAATAAAAATAGCTAAAGTTGATTTATTAAAACAACCCACTGATTATATACATTGGCCAAGCCACTTTTACTGACAAAGTGAGTGTGGTACTTAAGAATTGGTGCTTCTTGGTAATAGAAACTAGAGCTCTCTTAGTCTGCTTGGTGACAGATGGCAGCAGTACATAGGATATCCCTGACTGGCTGACCTAGAGTGCCCATGGTCAACTGATGTTTCCCTGTAGTACAATGTAGGGATTGTGAAGAGATGTGTTTTGCTCCTGGCTGCAAGTGACCCACTTTCTCCCTTGGGTCAGGAGAAGGCGATGCTGCAGTACTATGTTCTCTTCTGAAAGAAGCCACAACCTATATAGACATTCACTCTCCCAGAAGAAATTCTCCCAGTAGTGATTTAATCCTGTTTTTTCCCCAGGTTATTTTCCTGCTGGAGTGCACATTTTTACTTTGGGAGAAAAAACCTGAACATCTGGGAGAGCAGCAACTCTCCAAGGAGAAACTGAATGTCCATACTAGGCCTAGAACTATGTCTACTCTATGGATATCTGTGGGTACAGCAGAAGTATGGAACATGTTGACTACCAGCTTTCCTAGCAGAAGCCTTCAGATAAAATGAGGTCAACAAAATTTGCTTTTAATGGTCTATCTTGTTTTGTCTAGGGTATGCTTTTTTCCCCAACATGTGTCCATATTTGATGTGTTAATTCAATATATCCCAGCTACCTAAGTTACCTTCTTAGTTGCTACAGGCTTGTACAGATGATAGGATTAAAAATAATAGTTTGAAGACAGCCAGATTCGCTTTGCCTCGGGAATCAAGATCCTCTATTAAAATATGAGCCATTATATGCCCTCATTGATCAATCCCCAAAAGGGTTTTGCTGAGTTGCGACTGACCAAGACAGTATTACATTCAGCCATGCTAGACTGAAAATTAATTGTGACTCTACAAAAGAAGTACAGGCAGCCAGAACACTTGAAATAGATTAAGTTGATCTAGTTTATTCTGTTTACCTTTGGTTACAATACAGTTGATTTAAGCATAGTACATAGCATCCTTTTATGCTCAAGTTACTGCTCTGTGAAAAGTTTTGAAAAGTCACACTTAATGTGCTGGAACTTTTCTTTTTCACATTGCCCGCATAGTTATATTGTTCTTCAAAAGATCTTATTAAATTGAAATGCCAGGTATTATACTTAATAGTACTTACCACTTGAAAAAACTGGATGTTCATGATAATAGAGTTAGCAACAGGAAGGAACATTATCAAAGGAAATCAAAGTGAGAGGAATGTCTTTTTCTTTAGAAAAATGAATATAATTTACTCCTAAACCTTGTGTGAGAAGGTGATGTTATCTTAGTCCCTTGCTGATCTTTTATTGCTAACTATAAACTTCGAAGTCTTCTGTACTTTTGATCTATTTTGTAGGAGGAACAATCTTTTTTCCTGCACACTTAGCCTGAAAAAGAATTCAATGTATTAAGGGGAAAAAAATTACGGGGCCATTCAAACTCTATCTTAAAGGACCACTTTTTTTACTAATCACTTAGGAACCCAGACTAAAAGCAGCCAGAAGTTAAAGATAGGTTTGAAGGTGAAAAAGTCTGTTTGTTTCACATTTATAATGGAAAGCCTGCACAGAAACACTTTGTTTTTTTCCTGACAATCTACTTCTGTTTCAATGGCACATCCCAAAAAAGACTGTCCTTTTGTTTTCAATATGGAACATTTCCTAAATGAATATGAAACTTCTGAGTTTCAGGATAGAAACTTTAAACAGAAAGCATATTGAAAGAGAGGCTTTTTGTTTGTGCACCTTGGGATAATGAGAAGACCTGCATGCATAGGTATGCATAGATAGCTATATAGGAACACAGGACACAATCTTAAGCTGAGAAAGGCTTATACCTTCCTGTACTAAGGAAGGCAATAGTGGCTCTAAGCTACCTCGCAGCTGACTCTGTGATCCACAGGTGAAAATTATGGCTGTTCTAATTTGCAGTGTCTACAACAGTCTCTTTGGAGCCACAGAACACATCATATTTTGGTTTTCTCCTTCTCTAATCCCTAGTTGATCACTGAGTTCCCTACCCAGTGCATGTACATCAGGAATCTTCAGCTTCTCCTTCAGGAAACCTTTAAGGTCAATTTGAGCTGCCCTGGCAGTTGAGGAATAGGGAACAAATAACCCCAGTCTGTAGATAGCTAGGCTCAAAAGTTATCACTAGTCATAAAGCAGATTCTGTGATCATTTGGCTAAATATATGACTCCTACAATCTTGAGGATGTTGTTCTATGTTGTTCAATGGTGTTCTATATTGATACCATAGAAAGAGACTAAAAATCAGGTTTGCAAGGAACATTCACAGTTAAGCAAAGGGCAGGAAAGAAAAACAGAAGGAAAGGAAGGAAAATCCCTCTCTCAAATCTGTTTTGTTTCCAGTGACTATAATTACTATTTCAACATCCATTTGCCAGAGTAGCTAAACTGGCCATAGCATAAATTAAAATTAGGCCCCAAGAGTTTTGCTAGCCAGAAGTAATTAAACATGTTTATCAATGTCTGTTTCTGGTTAGTTTAGTTTCCAAGCTCATCTAAACCCTGGTATATCTACCTGATGATGCTCACCAGGCTTTATTCTTAAAGTTCTATCTCAAGCAAGAATTAATTAAGGGAAGGCCTACACAGCAGAAATCATGATAGCCAATTCCAACATGGTTCCTCTTCTTGGCCATGTATCTTTGAATGCATTGTTGAAGGAAGGTATGTCACACTGTTTATTATTTTAAAACATGCTATTCTACAGTGTAATTCAGTCCTAACGTCTCAAAAATGGAAAAACAAAAACAAAAAACAACAACATAGCAAAAAAACCCAGTAAACAAAAAATGACTTCTCTGTTTGATTTTTTTCTAAATGTATTAACCTCTGGCATAAACAATACTGAAATTTATTAAAAGAAAGAAGAGGAAAATTTCACCTGTTTGTTAAAATTTGATCAAATTTGTCATCATTTCTGTGAGAATAACTTTCATTTTATAATAAGTCAAACTAACAACAGGAAAGCTACAAAATTGGCTGCAGCTAGTATCTCTTGAGTAACATTTTCTCCTCACCCCCACAACAAAACAGGATTTCAGCTTGATAATATTCCATTAACTTCTTTTTCCTCCTCCTTTTCAACTTACCCATCCAGCAGAGATGTAAGCAAAGGCGCCACATCTGCAAACACTGCGTCTTGAGACTCAGTAGCACTGTAAACTCTGAGGGGAGGAAATTGGAATGACTGATTAAAGAAAAACAATCAATACATTTCCACCATAAAAACACAAACTAGACCAAACATATCTGTCAGTTGCTTTGGTATCACTACCATACAATGCACTGTCCTTATATGACAACAGCAATGACTAAATGTGTTTTAAAATACTTGCTTGCCTCAGAGATAGAAAGATTAGTGGATGGAAACTAGTCACTAATGCGCTGAATCTGGCTTCCTATGCAAGGAAATGAAAAGGCAAAGCTGCTGGAGTCACTTTGTTCGGATGGCTCCAGACAGAAGTTATGGGAGGAGCATCTGGGGCACAGTCAAGCCACAGATGCTGTCTTGGACAAGGGTAGAGGGCAGATAAAACTAAAGGGATGGTCAGCGTAGTCCAGTGCTTAGGACATGAAATTCAGAATTCCTAGACTCAACTCCTGTCTTCAGAAGGTGGTATGGTCTTTATTAGCAGTTGTTTTTTTAATTCATGTATGAATTCCAGGAGCTCCAGAGTTACTTCATGGAAAGAAGAAAAATAGAAAGAGTATCCATAGCGGATATTGAAACAATTAATCTTTGTGCCTTGGGGGCTCCTAATCCCAATTGATCAGTCAGCACTGAAGGGCCATTTCTACTGTCTTCAAGCTATATTGTTCCAGTTGGTTTTCTTCCAGTTGTCACTTAGCTATGGAAGCCCCTACTATCTGTATTATGCCATTAAGGAAGCACTGGACTCTCTTACATGGCATCTCTACCAAGAAATTCATAGGCTAAGTGCAGACTCTCTCCAATGCCTTAAGAAGGATGTGCCCAAAAATGTGTAAAGAACAGTTTTTTCAAACTATCTAGTTGGTCTAATAAAAGATAACATATTTATCCGAAGAACCTGGTCTGCCTAGGCTAACTGAAGAATTTCACAGCTGCAAGGGGGACCACCACAATTTCACAATATTGGTATTAGATATCTGATTGTGTAGTGCTCAATTTCGCAGTATCTCATGTCACAAACACCCCTAAATTTACCTTCACAACATCTCTGTGAAGCAGGGAAATGCTTTTTACTCCAGTTTTGGGATGGAGAACAGAGACAGGGAAAGATAGGTGACTTGTCTAAGTCACAGAGAAAGTCTGTGGCAGAACAGGGAACTGAAGCCGAAACACTGCATTTCAGTCCTGTACCTGGACTACAAAACTATCCTTCCAATAAGCACTTTCATGATACATACTAGATGCTTTTCTTTTTTGTTTAAAGATGTAACCCAAATTAGTTCTTTCCCTGTTTAGCACGGAGCAGTGACCGTGTAACTTTTAAGCAAAACCAACAATAATACCTAAACCAACAGAATACATTTTTTAAATTCAAGAGAAAAGCCCAACAAGTTTATACTTGGACTTCTCTTTAATGAAAGTATTTCCCCTCTTAAAAACCAAAATGCTGAACTGCACAAGACCTGGACCAGACAATAAATCATAGAAGGAAGAAAGTTTCACTAATTCATTTCTTTTCTTAGCATCCTAAAAAGTAACCTCCTACTGAGCACAGTCTGAAAGAATTACAGAGTATTGTTTATACAAGATGTGAAAGGCATGGTATGAAAATCATTACATACACTTAAGCATTTGGTGTATACACATAGGTACATGTCTCTTCAAACAAACTTTTTTCTTTGATGCCTCCCCGCTTCTGCTTCCCTTTCTGCTCAACCCTGTTCTTCTTTGCATGATGTGTCTTTTGTACAGGTTTTAGTACATGAGTTATAAAACAGGAATTTGGGGAACAGTAAACAACAGAACCAAGTCAATTTACTGGTAAACAACTCTCCTACTGTTTGTACATGCTACATTCAAAATATAAATTAATGAAAGTCACATCTGCTAGGCAAGTACGTATTTGATGTACGTACTGCCACTCTGATCCTAACATGCACAAAGGCAGATTTCAGTCTTTATGCACACTATAAATACAATTGTCTGGGGGCCTAGTGCCATGCAGAAGCCAGGAATACAGGATCTATTGTACTGTATCAGACCAAAGGCCCACATAGTCCAACATTCTGTCTCCGACAATGGCCAGCACTAGTTACTTCAGAGAAAGCTACAAGAATGGCCACAATAGGCAAAGGGAGAACAATCCGTTTCCATGAAGGCTTATCCTTAATCACTAACATTTGGAAATTGGCTAAATCCCTGAAACATGAGGTTTATTGTCTGTTCCAACATTTTTGCTAGCATCAAGTATTATAACTCTGGTTATTCTCATTATCCATAAACATGTCCAGTCCCGCTTTGAATTGTGCTGAATCTTTGACTTAGATTGTATCCTGTGGCAATGAGTTCCATAGTCTAATGACATGTTGTATGAAAAAGTGTTCTTCTTTAATGAGCAAATGGGCACTTGCCTGGCTTGATGGACGAACGGTGCTTGCCTTGCCATTCCACTCACATGCTGTCATACGAAAACTGAGAAACCTACAAATATGCATAGATGTGGCAAAGCACTTGGAGAAAACAGTTGCTAACAAAAAAATTAGGATATATTTTGCATGCATGCACAGTATGCTTTTCTTGTCAAATCCTCAAGGTCAGTATGGTTGAGCAAAAGTTCCTCCAAACTGCATTTGCTCTGCTTCATTTACCATTCACATCACTTGAAATATGCATTAGCACCAAATCCCACATTTTAGGGCAAACAGCCTCCAGCTCAATTTGTCCTGAACTGGTTGAGATATTTTTCTCTAATGTGAGTCATGACATCTTTCTAAGGACTTTTACGTAAGGAATCGATACCTAAAGCATTCAAATAGGATGCAAAGATGAGCTTTTCAGCAGAGGACAAATTAACCAATTCTCTGATCAGGACTAGAATAAGATTTGTTTTGGGGTCTGTATAAACTGTGGTTTACAACTTTTTAGATTCAAGGCATCCCTTGGAAAATGCCAGCTCTTAGTTTCCGCTCAAATTTTTGACTACTGGAAGATAGATTAATTCTTATGTTGCAAAGATCACAACAGGTCAGAATGTTTTTACCACTGTGGATTCCTATTTGAAATTTCTGGGTTTACCTGTGTAAATCCTGGTTGCATCTCTACCAGTGCTAACATTGTATAGCACCCCATGGCATCCTTGAAAACATCTCAAGGTACCCCAGGGTGCCACAGAACCTTGGTTAAGAATTACAGATCTAAACTACTGTGACATCAGTATAGTGGAGAGACACCTAAGATAGCTTTATACTATAGCTAGTTCAGGTAGCAGTAGCATTCTAGATACAGTAGCATAGAGCTTAGTGTAGATGAAGCACCTGAGCAGTTACCTACCCTTCCTGGGTAGGTTAACAACAGGTACAGCAGCCCTGTACCATGCTACTGGCACCCAAGCTAGTTATTTTATAGCTATCGTCAACATGTCTGCATTACACTGCAACGATAGTGATGACAGCAGTGTAGCTGTATCCTTAATTAGTTATCAGAGATCATGGAAGGTGTAGCAAACCCAAGGACTTGGTTTGCACAGAATTATTTATTCTGCTAGAGAGCTGACAGATTTTGCCCAGCACCGCACCACTATTCATGCTGATTTCACCCAGAACATTATAAGCTTCTTTTTTATTTTGTTAGCTGATTCACCAAGAAAATTATAAAAAGCATAACATGGTGAAAGCTGGAATTCTCTTCCTGAACTGAAATCAAATATTTTGACATTTATTAGGACCATAAAAAGTTGCTAAAAAAATAAACATTTTGAGTTCATAAGAACCATATGCTCTACTGTTTATAAAAACGAGCTGTGCTGGGACATTGAGAAAACATTCCCCAAGCACTGCATTCTTTGGGGGATTTACTTTTTTTTTAAACCCTTTTCCTCATGATCTGGATGCACAGCACATATCAGAATCAAAACACCAATGAAGTCCTGTGTGAAGGGACAGCACTGTAGCTCATCGTGTTGTGGCCCACCATTAATACCATTGGCTGATGCTTACATTACATGCACCACAGCTTTGTGAATATAGTTGCCTAGAGGTGCCTCATGCCTCAACACAAGGCAGAGAGCAGCTAACTTAAATCTTTAAAACATAAGAAATGAAAAATTAAAGTTAAGGCGCATGTTACTACATAACACAATATTAACTCTTTCCTCCTAAAGCTGAAAATAGCCTCTGGAAATGGTTGGAAAGAATGAGAGCTACAAGTAGTCCACAATATCTTGATATCTGGTTGGAAGGAGTTATGAAGAAGGGTTGGAACAGGCTACATAGACAAATTGTGGGATCTCTATCCCCAGAAATTTTTATGGGTAGCTTGAACAGACATTTGACAGGGATGGTTTAGTCAGGGATGATCCTGCCTTGAGCAAGGGGCTGGACTAGATGATCTTGTGAGGTCCCTTCCAGCCCTACCTTATTATGATCCTATGAAACAGCCTGGTAACAAAGATATGAGGAGAGCTGTACCTTGAGAAAGCAGGTATGCCTCATTTTAGCACTGAGGTCTATGAGTTTTGTCAACAGGGCTCCTCTGCATTGTCTTCATCACAGGAAATGCGAGGAGTTTGAAAGCCTATACAACAGTGGTATCCATGGGCTTAGTGAAAGCAAAGTGAAGGCAATGTTTCAGGAGAAATCCTCAGGGCAAAGCAGAAGTGGCAATAACATCTGTCAAGCCTGGAATGGCTTGTGTTGAGTAGGTTGAGTTTGGGCCAGGTGCAGCTAACTTCTGCTCTGTGCAGCTATACTCTTATTCTTGGCAAAGAAGTGTTAGATGCTGTTCTACAGCTGTCACATTTCTCTTCCCAGTGTCCTGATACATATTCAAGAATATACTGCTAGTATGTGTTATTGGTCTGTTGAGGCTTTGCTCAAAGAGAGTAGAGACAATAGACAGGATGCATAGGTTGAACAGCTGGGGAGAAGATGCAGGAACAGTACAAAGACAAGCATGGAGTCTGTAGGGACAACTTGGCGGGGGGCGGGCAGGGAATTGACATGAAGGACATGGAAGTAGGAGTTTTGGTGATACAAAGATGAAGTTCCCACACCATTCTTTTCTGGACAGTTCCTTTTTTCCCCACTCTTCCCTGCTCTGTCCCAACTTCCCCCTCATTGTTCTGTTCTCCCATATTCCCCCAATACTATAATAACTCCTTTAACATTCCTATCAGTCATGCCCATTGCTCTGACCCCACCAAAAACAAATGCACCAGCTCCACCTTTATCCTTGATATTCCTGTGGCCCTGATAATATGGACAGTCTGTGAGGAGGGCTTTTATTAGATGGAAGTAAAAAGAGACTCTGTTTTGACACACATGTTGCCAACGTGCACCAAGAAAATGGTAAACTGGGAACAGAAGCGAGGAACGGGAAGGGATATTTTGGGTCACTGAGTCCAGTCAAGTAGAAAACAAATCACAACCAGAGTTGGATCCCCCTTTAAAAAATATAAGGAGAAAAAGTGATTTTGCAAAATAATGGGTTTGTTTCTGAGGGGGTAACTGTAAGGACCCTTCAGCCAAATCACTGAAAATCTGAATCACTACCACTGCCCAGACGCCCAATGAAAAACAGAAAATTTCGAGACAATGCAAATATGTATGTGGATTTTGGAACATTTGAACAGAAAGCAACGCTCAACCTTGGCTATAACAGAGTTGGCATTCCATTATAATTTTACATGAGTAGTGGATGGGATATTGGATTGGACTAAAAAAAACTAGATCAATTCTTCATTCCGTTATCTACTTCTTGCGTGGCCAGGAGCAAGTCACTTAATTGACCCTATGCCTCATTTCCTCATCTCCGAAACATGGATAATAGTACTTCATTACCTCAAAGGAGTGTTGTGAGACTTAAAGATTATGAGGTGGTATTTTGATGAGGGTCATACAAATGCCCTGATATTAAATTAGAATGTTGCTCTCCTTTTTATTTGTAACTTTAGGAGAAGAAAAGAAAATAAGCTATATTCTGCAGCACATTACTGTGTTATAGGAAGCACCTTGTCACCAAATAAATGTAAAACCTTAACATGTTTTACCAGGTTTACTAAGGAATAAGTTTTCAGACCACAGAATTTCACAACAGTCCAGAATGCTTTATACCCACCTTTCAAATTGAAACAACTTGTTTATTGAGGCATGACCAGGACGACTGCATTTTACAAGGACAGTTTCCTGCCAGAAAAACAAAGTAGTTATAATTAAGGCACATAAACACATAAATAAAATTATGTTTTGTGTGTTTCGAGTAGGAATCAGGTAAATGGAAAACACTACTTAGTCTTATATCCTGTCTCCAACAGTTACCAACACTGGATTATGCAGAGAAAGAAACAAACCCTTCATAATCCACTTAATTATTATGTTGGACAGTTTTATTTAGGGTCTGTGAAGTCCATGAAGTGGCTGCAGTGTCTTATAGACATACATGAACTACACATTTAAAACAGCCTCAGTCAGGAACTGATAGCAGTCTGGATGAGGAAATATGGAGCACTGTGCAACAATGCAGTCAAGAGAATGTAAATTAGCCTCATGTGATATATGACTGAGGTACAGACCAACACTGCTTCCCTGTGCCACTTCCCCCATTGTCTCTGCCCCTCTCCTCCACCCCACTGCTGCACTCACTTCCCCTCAAAGCTGCAACTCCAGCTGGGGTCCTGCTCCAGCCCAGGGCATGGAGTGCAGGCTGCCTCTGCAGGTAGCTTTGTAATTACCATCAGAGCTCATACAACCACAGAAAGCACTCCTATTCATTTAAAGACCAAATAGTCAAGATACCATTTCTGAACCTAATTATATACCCATGTATTTATGCCCTCAATTGAACTGCAGACATTAATTTTATAGCAATAACACAGTAATCCACAATGATGGAGAAAAACACAGTAAAATTGCTGGAGTTTTAACAACTTTTTTTGTAATAACACATTTTCTAAATATATTATGTAGTAGCTTTTAAAGTCTGCCAAGTGTGTCAGTGGCTCTTTAAACTACAGCCAGAGTGCAATCACAGCACCTTGGCAGGCATTACACAGGAATTCAAATCCAGAAGTGCTTTTCTACTCTCCCTAAACATGATGTTTAATGGCAGAAGAAAATAAATTTTAAACCCAATGCTTTGCAGCATTTCCACTAAGAGCTGAAGGGGCAACATATGTCTTTGATGGCTATCCCATTTGAGAGATTAGTTAGTATATTTTGGTGAAAGTGCAACATAAATGTCTACATTGCTGTAATGTAACGAGAGTGGGGGAAAAGCCAGTTTGTTTAGCAAAGGAAAGAAAATCCATAGGCAGGTGTTTTCTTATGACCATGCATGGTGACCATCCTTCCTTAGTGGCTCAAAATGGAATAATACAGGCATCTTGGCTGCTGTCCTGTGGAAGTGCTGACAATTTTTCTAGTTATGAGGCCACTGAATTTGTTTCTGTTCTGAGGGTGCAGTCACCCATGGCCATGAAATACCTAGCTCTAGTTTAGAGCATACACCCATCCAAGAGCGCTTCCTTTCTACTGGCAGAATCACAAAAATCTCCCAGTTTAAGTTCTGTTCTTCGACAAACCAAACAAAGCAGCCAGTTGCTCTCCACTCCATGCAGATACTCTGCATTAGAAACTGAACTAACTCCCCCAGGCAGCACAGCCCCAGTGAGAGACGGGGACAAACAGCAGAAAAGAAGTTTCAGAACAAAGGAGGTAAGGTTCAGATTGCAGGAGGTGAGTGCCTAATTTATAGAAGTGCCTGCTCTGCCATGCACCTACACAGCTGTGAGGCTATTCAGCACAGTGTCCCATGCCCTGGCTAGGCCAACACAGACCATTGCTACTGTCTTCCAAAGCTCAAATAGCTGGATAATTTCTATGAGAGAGAACCCACAAAGAGCAACTGCCATTAATTAAATAAGAAAGTAACAAGAAAATACTTTGGAATCAGTCACCCTGGAGCCCTGATGTAGTAGCCAGATTCTCCATATGAAAATGATTTTATTTATACATGCAATCTAAGGCTTTAAAATCTCGAATGAGCTCAAAAACAGAAAAGAAATACTGGGTTGTACAGCCAAAAACAACTTAAGTTTTTACAGACTCTCAAGACAAGACACACAAAACTGTGGGAAACAGTGTTTCTCTCTTTAGCAGATTTAATTATAAAAATTCCTAAATAAACAGCATGGTATTGACTTGAATTGGATTCACTATTCGTTTCAAACTGTCTCAAAATGCCCAAAAATGCAAAGTTATTTTAAGTATAAGCACCGCCTATATTATACAACTGAGACTGTATTAAGCAAAATATTATTTACTAGTTCTGGATAGCAAAACAGTTCCTCGATACCAATGCTGTCCAACTTTGATGCGACTGGGGGCTGCACCTGGTGTTAGCATGCAGTCCCTGAGTCACACACCATGCAGGCTGCATGCTACGGGGAAGGCTCCTTGGGATCCACTTTACCGTGTAGGTAAAGCCCACAGAACCCTCTCCCTACTGGCAGCACCCCTTCCCCTGCCACTGAACAAGCTGTGCCCACAGCACATGGACCCCTGGGCCTTTTCCTGGGGGACCATCTACTGGAGTTATAATCAGGGAGATTTAAATGCATGTGATGTTTCTGCTAGCTTTCCGTTGCAATATAAAGCACCAACTTACAAAAGGAAATTTAGTAGCACCTTGATGAGGAACACTGGGTGCATCTACACATGACGCTACAGTGACAGTGTCGGTGGGCACCAATCGTGATGCTGCAGTTACATCGCCGTAGCAATGCACTCCCTCAGTACAGTGCATTGCTATAGCAGCACAGTGGCTATAAACATGCACTGTCGGCACGGTGTTGTATGGGCTGTTACTGCGCTGTCATTTAGTATTCCAAAAGGAAGTACTAAATGACGGCGCAGTAACAACAGCACCTTAGGGGCCCATGTAGATGCGTTCGCTGAATATCTGAATGAAAGCTACTGCAGTTGAGGACACTGAGGTTAAGACACATACGTAGGGCCCATGAACAAGTTATTAATAAGATATACTGTGAGCTAGTCTATCTTAATGCTATAGTTCTGTGAATAGTGCTATAGCTTTTCCTCAGCAACTATGTATGTGCATGCTCTTAACCTGATGTTAATGGAAAGTAGCTTACCTTTCACTAAAAGTGGGGTAAGCTATCTCACATTTACCACAAAAGTAAGAGCATGCACATGGGCAGCTACCACTGAATGGCTGATGCACTGTAAATTCACACCTTAGCTTACCTTGTGGTAACTTGCTCATGTGCCCATACCCAGAGTTAACACTCCAGTTTTAGCTCACACTATTGTACCTTTTACATTTCATTTCTTGGTAACGGCATCAATGAATGGTGGAATGTCATCTGGATTTACCATCTCAGCTCTCAATCTCTGTCTTTTAATGGACTTAAATCAGACCCTTTTAACATCCTCAAAAGCAATACTTTGTAAGCAATTGCGGGAGCTATTTGGATATTACATTTCTACCACGTTCTATAAGATACACTGTAATAATAAAAATGAAAAGAGTCTGACAATTTAAAAAATAGCAACAGTGAGCAGAAGCAGCACAAAAGGAATGCAGAGATCTGCAGCAGTTTTATTATTACAGAGACATAAGGCCTGATTTGCTCTGTAACTGTGTCAGCTGAATTTGATCTCTAGGCCATTAGTAACAGAAAATCCATCAGAAGCCAAGACCCAATAGCACAAATTACTTGCTAATATATCATTAGGGAACCTGAAGCAAACACTAATACAGAAAACCTACATAATCTTTCCCCAAAAGAATCGACATCTATTAGCAGGGCCTGGTGTTTACGGCAAATGCTGTTACAGGTGTGCACTGCTGGAAGAGGATGACTGAACTCTTGCTAACCAGCACAATACAAAGAGGTGTGATACTTCTGGGATTCTTAACAATATGTTTGAAAAGACACTGCTCAAGAGAGCATGTACCTTACTTTCTCTGCAATATGCAGAATCCTGTTGATCACTCCAACCATTCCCTTTTCCCTAAATGCTGGCCTCGCTCATTTTTAGTTCACTACTGCAGAAAACAGAATATGAACAAGAGGCACAGGGAGCACTTTCAGCATCCGGAACATGGGGACAAAGGGAGCGGGTTATGCTGACCGCTGGAGATGGGGGGGAAAAGAGAATGGAGTCTTACCTTACGGGGCCCTCCTCACCCACATGGCAGCTGCTTCTGCTGGAAACAGACAACAGCACAGGCTCCCTGGGTACTCTGTTCTCTCCCCCTTCAACTCCTGGGTGCAGGGCTGTGCCTCCAATGGGAAAGCCTTTGGGGAGGTGTCATTCCACATCCCTGTCCCTGCCCCGAGATATACTGCTGAGTGCAGGTCTGAGCCTGCCTGGCTTCTATGGCTGGGCAGGGGCAGCACAGAGCTACTCCTGTCGTGGCAAAGACTCATGGGGGAAGGGAGCCATACTGGCACCCCTTCTCAGTTGGTGCCTGGGGCCAGTGCCCTGCTCACTCTGCCCTGGTTATGTTCTTGATAAGAACATTCTTTTAAATCCACATTGGCAAACTATTTTGTACCAAAAAGCCTTAAGCTAGATAAGAGTTTGTTCTGGATCCTACATGGATATTAAGAATATTTCTATAACTCTTTTACTGAAAAAAAATGATCCATACTTTCTGCTTGTTTAGAAACCAAACAAAAACAATGGACCAGCTTCTGCTCTCAGCTATGCCAGTATAAAGTCATAGCAACTCTGCTGGTCCAGATTTTTATCTCAATTTTATCACTGTAAATGGAACATCATTCAACTAAGTCAGTGGAATTACACCAGCATAAAACTGTTTTAAAGTGAAAAAGAATTAGGTTACTTCCAGCTTTACTGTGGTTTACAGCAAAATGTATCCTACTGTTCTGTGACATGCTGATTCGTAAGGCTGAAAGTGCTCCATGATCAAAACTGATAAGGGAACAAATTAAAGGAAAAAAACAGGGTGAAACTCCTTTCAAATTCTGTCTGCAGACTCACAAGGATGGGATATTTCAGGAGGGAAGATCAGTCTTGATCTGTAGTGAAACAGCCATTTGCTACAGAGAAGGATAGAGGAAGACTGTGTGAAGGCTATTTTCATCCCTGAAACTGTTCCTGAACTTGGGTTTCTTGATTAGAAAAGCATATAGCTATTGACTAGAAATGGAACAATGCACACTGTTTTCACTGTTCAGTATCCAAACCAAATTACTTTGCAAGAGAAATACCAAAGTAGACAGGCAACAGTAACCTGCTTTATCATTTGCCTTCTGGATTCAGAACCAAATAGGCATTTTCCACCCTTTTCCCTCCTTTCTATCATCATTTGTTTCTGACTCTATGTATATATACTTTCATTATTAAGTATACTCACATCATCAACTGCATGCGCCACTTTTTCTGAAAGTTTTTTGTGCCTGCAGGGGGGGAAAAAAATTGGAAACCTTAATTTGTTTATTTTGACTGAGAAAAATGAACACTCACAATGCCTGTGAACTGCAAGGTCTAGGAACAGATCTAGGATTCTGAAAACAGGACTACAATGGTGAGCTCACCGGCACAAGGTGCTACAACTGGTGGTAGAGACCAGTGGCTGAGACCAGAGGTCTTGGTGTAGGAAAGTTCGCTGCACATGCACTACACAATCATAGGGGGTATGACCACACGACCACTACAACCCCATAATCCACCCCTACCAACATCTAACCATGTCAACCTTGTAGTTTTGAAATCTGTTGGATTTTTTTACTGCTTTTGTAAAACTACTGCCACCAGAAAGCAACAACATAGATTTATTAATAGAAATAGTATTAAAATGCAATCAAGCAAAATAAAGGAGTCTGTTTAAATAAGCAAATTTACAAACAATCAAATTATGAACAATGTCATATACAGGTTATTTCAAGGTTACAGAAACTCTAACAGTTATATGAAAAACGAAAGGTGTCTGGCTGCATCACTATAGAGGTTCCCAACTTTTCAACCAATGGATCACTGTCAATCCTCAAAAGTACATCATGAATCACTGTAACGCCTCCTCATCACCAAACTTTTAATTGAAAAAGATTGGGAGGGCAATGCAGCCTGTAACAAAATCTTATCGACTGTAAATTGGAACCCACTGCATTAGTACAGGCAACTAAGATATACACTTTTTAAGAAAAAAGTCTGACTGATCTTGCAAACACTTCAGCTAGATCAATGCTTGAAAGTTTTCCTAGTGGCCATGTCACCTAGGGCACGTGAAATGCACATTCTTTACCCAATGTCTTATGCCTGCAAAGCCCTGGGTGTGGATACAGCTATGCCAACAGAGGTGTTGAAGCTAACCTAACAAAATAACTCATTTTGTTAACGTATGCTGAGTTTTCACTAAAAGTCCCTGGCAGCAAAGCTATGTTGGCATAGCTATAACAGGAGAGGCTCTGCAGTACAGCCAAAGCTTTGTAATGCTGAGTGATTTTACATATTTTACTCACCCAAAAATGATTGAGACTATTATTATAAATTAATTCATATGCGTTTTGGCCAGATTGGGTCCTTAGTTTTATTACTGCTTTGATTAAACCTTGTTCCACAGTATCAAGAAATATACTAACCAATCTCTTGTTTAATATTATCTATTCTGTTCTGCACTGCACTTTTGCAGCTAAATACATTACTACTTCAGAGCCACAGAAACACTCTTCAGGAACCTCACAAGTAAAACAAAACACATATTGCACCAAATTTCTTCTTCAGGCTCCCTAAATTTTTCTAAGTAGGTCATTTCTGTTTTGTTTTAATTAAAATGATTTCATATTTTAAAAGATTTGGCAAAAATATCCTTTAAAAAAAACACACTGTAAGCTAGTGGGCAGGTATACCAGCCAGGGAAAGCAAAATAAAGCCCCAAACTACAGTCATTTCTTGATCAAGGTGGATTATAGTGTGGTTTCCAGCCACCCACTTAGTTCTTTCTTTCTCTCTTTTTATTTATTTATTTTTGGGCTCAGCACTTTATTCTCTTCTTTCTTTCCCTTCAGCCATCTAGGCAGTTTCCTGTCTATAACTTACTCAAACCTAATCCTTCCTTTCTTTCTCCATCCTGAGACATTTTAGCATTTACAGGTAATTATATAATGAGCTGGAGCTACAAGCACAAAGTGGGTACAACTCTACTGAAGTATACAGAATTGTATGCTGTTTGTGTGACTCACTGGCAGCGAGCCTGTTTCATAGTATGGAATTGCAAAACAAGTCTTATTATTTGGAGAATCTGGCTACATCCAATTTATGACTTTTGAATGATGTTATGAAATGCCCTATAATGGAATGCCTCAAGGACAGCGAGTCTGCTATGAACTGGCAGAGACTTTGTTACTATA